TGCAGACAGAATCTCAGAATCCAATTATTATTATAATTATAACATGGAGTATCACGGACTGTGACTGCGTTTATTAAACTGCAAAGCCTGCTTTTTAAAAAAAATGTAGTTCTGCACATTCTGCATTTCTCAAAGTGAATGACGACCACATGTTCACCTGATGTTGTTTGCGGCCGTGTCGTCTTCAATTCCTTGGGAGGATTTGACTCTCAGCTGAAAAGCAGTCAAGAATCCAAAAGGACACCATCTGATTTTTGTCCATTGACCCCAGCTGAAGAAAAAACACAGGTTTAATACTGAAAGTTCATGAAAATTAATTTGTCTACTGTAGTCTATTAAAGAAGCTGCTTCTAACCCTACGTAAATGTAAGAATTCATAATAACACAAACCTGCTATAACTAGTATTACTACTCTTTAGACGGAGCCCATTACCTTCCTACTTCTGACTGAACTGAGGCGTAGTCGTGATATATGACTGTTAAGGCTTTGGACGGATCGATGCAGTGAAGGCGAATCCCGTTGAGTGCAGTGTTATCATCCCAAGGGATATAGGAAAGTTCTTCCACCTTGAAAAAACACCACAACACCCTAAATTTTAAAAACAATCCTTGAAAGTTAAGTCGGTTACACTTTATTTTAAGGTGTCCTTGTTACAGTGTAATTATACATTTAAGTACAGAGTTATATTAATTAACTACATGTACATACTATATGGTTAGGGTTTGGTTTTGTCTTAGGGTTACTTGCATGTAATTATGCATAATTAATTATTATAATAGTAAGTACATGTAACGTGTAACAAGGACACCTTAAAATAAAGTGTTACCGTGAACTCTAACCATCCCATAGTAACATTCATCTTCGTGTCCTTTAGCATTTCCCTGAAGATAGCAGGAACTAAATGATGAGTAATGATCAGTCACCGGCTTACATGTTTAACCCCATATTACTGAAATGGATCAAATCCCAGACTTACCTTTACACTGAACCCTGCAGCATACATTCCAGTTGGACAGATTTCCTTAGACCCCCACGACCCCCAGTCCATTCCATTAGACACAGTCAGCACTGATCTGTATTTTCTTGGCTTAGACACTCTTACTGTAACTGACTGAATGCTCACATGCAGCCCAAGAATGACTAACAGTAAAGAAATTAAGTGATGCATTGCTGCAGCTCTGGCCTGATCGATAAAAAATACTGATGAAATTAATTCTGTTTGATTTCTACACCAAAAACTGATCCAGGGTCAGTAAAACTGCTCAAAGGAACAAGTTTCTTCAAATCCAGAACAGAAAACCTGAGCCGACTGCAGTCTGTCCATAGAATATACCTGATTTTTCAGAATATATTTATATGGTTTATCAATATTGTGGTTTCCTCGTTCTAGCCAATCAGCAGCCAGGAGCAAAGAGCACACGTCAACAACCTGTACATGACTGAAAACACAAAAATACAAACACTGATCCAGCAAAATATCTGTATGCTTAACCGTAAATGTCCCTGAAAACTGATTTCTTGGTAAAATGCCTATAAAAGTTTGAGTTGCTTGTTTGATTTTGTATTTGCATTTGCTAACAGGTTTATTGCATTTACATTTCCTCAGTTTAATGAGAGTGATTGCAAGGAAGCAAGTGTTAAAGGAAGTAATCTGCTAAAAATGATCATTCTGTCATCATTTAATCAACCTCGTGGTTCCAAACCTGTATGACTGTCTTTCTTCTGAGAAGCACGTGGAGAATTTAAGTATCAGTGAAGTATATTCATGCATACTGTAAATCTAATTAATTAACCTTGCTTTAAAATGCATGCAAACTGATCGCCTTAAAAACTGTCAAGTAAAAAACTTCTTAGTTTGGAAAACTAATTCATTTTAAGTTAAATAATAGGTGTATAATCCAAACAATTTATTAAGTTGAACTAACTAATGTAAAATAATGCGACTTGGAATTTCTCAGTTGTATTTACTTGAACAGCAAAATGATCTGACTTGCGTGTTAAAACCATGCAAACCGATTGCCTTATAAAGACCAAGTAAATATTACTAGAATAAATTTCTTTAAAAAAAGAAAAAAAAGTGCTTCAGTTGTCTAGCAGCAGCACACGTGCACATGCTAATTTCACCAACAGAAGGACTACCACTGCATCAACAACTGCAATTATTGCTGTTTAAATAAAGCCGTATATAGTCTTAACATTTGTAATAGACCTATCCTCGAACTACTGTAACATAGGCTCTACTCTTCAGCACAATGGTAACCTCCCCAAAAATGCAGACATAACAGAAACCCTTTTAAAAACAAACATAACAGAAGATTAAACAAGAAGTCTTATGATAATGTGCATGAAGAAAGAAATAGGCCTATCCACAGAACAAACTCGTTTCAGTTAGCTAAAGAACCAGGGTTTATTATTTACATTGTTGTTCCAGTCAGTGATCAAGAAACAATGCAAAACTAAATGACTAAATACATTTGGATATTAAAGTCAATGGCCTGCATGTAAACACACTTTAGACAAACACTGACTGATCGGGTCAAATGCTGCTCATTGCCCTTTGAAACAGCTTTACCTTTTTAAAAAAAAAAAGTTTTTTAAAGATTGTGTAAAGCAGAAACTGGATATAAAAGGGTTATGAACTGCATTTTTAAATTATTTTATATAATGTTCTCTGAGGTTCAGTTATAATGTTAGTAAGAATTTTACATCAAAAACATCACAAATTATTCTTCTTATTATTATTTATTTATATTATTAAGGTCTACATTGTATTTTGTTTTTTGAAGTCTACCAGGGGTGGGGTGGGTTCTAAATTTGCACAGTTGCTTTTTGTTTTATATTACTGTTCCTAGAAGAAAATTAAATAATAATAATACAAAAACAAAAACATAATTTAGAAGTAATAGACTATTTTCTATCCTGTTTTTGAGCCTCTCTGCAGAATGATCTGTTTTTAGGCAGGGCACATTCAAGACCTGCAAGTAAACACCCACTGCTATGATTGGCTGACAGTTTTGCTTATTAAAATAACAGATGGACGCTGCTGTGACTTGCTCTAAAAAAACAACGTGTCTCATTTGGGTTGAAAACGTATAAATTAGGGATGCTCCGATCAGGATTTTTGCAGCCGATACTGAGTACCGATTTCTTGTCATGGGGATCAGCCGATTCTGATGCTTCAAGCTTTATACAGACGGTTTCATCGTGCGCATGCACCTGGCCCTGAGTTAACTTCCGGTCTGTGTTTGTTTATCAGTCTG